CGCACGGGTCTCCTTCTTCCCCTCCCCCAGCCGCCCCTGCTTTCCTGCTCACGCACTCACCCACCCACACCCCCTCCCCCCCCCCAGCTGCCTCTTTTTTTTCTTTCTTATTATTTGTTAATTCTGTCGTTGTTGTTGTTTTTTTTTTTTTCGCTTGAGGTTAGTTCGACCTCATTCAGAGTGCCGTGCGCTTTTGTTTTTGTTTTTGTTTTCTTCCCTCGCCTCCGTCGCTTACCACCACGCGTTAAAGAAGGGTAAACAAGAAAAGATAAACAGGTATATGTATATATATATACGTGTGCGTATGCGTGCGCATGAACACTCAGCCCACGCCTCCCCACAGCTGAGGAAAAGCCGACGGCGCTCGCTTTTTGCCTGCCCGTCGCACGGCGCAAGAAAAAACAAAAACAAAAAACGGGCTGCCGCGCCACTCCCTCCAACTCCTTCCGCGACGTATCTGCGCATTCCCCCGCCCCACCCTATTCGAAATAGCATCACATTGAACCCGGCGCGTATGTCCTCTGCGCCTCCCCGGTGCTGGCACTATTCGGTGACTCTCCCCTCTCCAACATCTTCCTCCTGTGCTCGGCGCAGTAGCCGCACGGGGCCGCCCCCTCTGGCACTGCTGCTCGCACTACTGCCACGACTACTAGCAGCAGCAGCAGCAGCAGATCCCTCAAGCCTCTGGGGGGCAGAGGCGTACTGCCCCCGCTGCGGCTGTTGTTTTGAGTTCTCATTCGCAACTGGGGCAGGAGAATTGTACGCGGGAGCTTCACGGGCGGGCGCTCTAGGGAACCCAGGGGCTGTCGCAGCAGCCGGGTACGACGTTCCACTCGCATTTGGTTGTTGCCGGAAAACAGCTCCTCCCTGCACTGGAGCACACAAGGCAGAAGAGACGAGGCCGTCCACGTTGCCCGGTAGCGCACACATTTGGGGCGGTGGCATCATCAATGAGGATTGTTGTTGTTGTTGTCTCCAGAGCATCTGTTGCTGCTGCTGCTGGTGAAGATGATATTGGTGGCTGAGCCCAAGCTGCTGCTGCTGCTGCTGATGGTGGTGGTGGTGGTGATGAAGCTGAAAATACTGCGGGTGCTGCTGAACCTCGTGCGCCAGCGAAGCGGAAGCGGCGGCCTCAGCCTTTGGCCGCTCCCGCGTTGACGGTCCCTCCGCCATTGGGTCTTTAAAGGCGGCGGGTTTGCTGCTATGACGGCCGTCCGCGGCAGCGCCCTCAGTTGACGCCGCCGGCCCCTCTACAAGAGACGAAGCCGCAGGCTTTACCGGCGGCGGCGTCTTCTCGGCAGCGGGACCAGCCGCCGTGCCGCGGTGAGCCCCGCCACGCCCGCGCTGACGGACACTCGACGGGGAAGCTCCCCCTCCACGCGTGCTCACTTGCCGGCTCGCCGCTGGGGCGCCGCCGCCGCCGCCGCCGCCACTACTACTACTACTACTAACGGCGGCCGCACCAGCGCCGTTCAGCACGTCAAACACCCCGCGTTGCTGGTAAAACTGATTCATATCGTATCCAATGTACGGGAACGGCTGCATGTGAGGAGGAGTTTGGTACTGATGGTGATGATGATGGTGTTGCTGCTGTGGATAATGCAGCATCGCCTCTGGGGAGTACTGCATCTGGAAGTAAAACGGCGACATGTCAGGGTACCCCGCGCCACCGCCGTTTGGGTGCATCAGAAACATGTGAATTGGTGGAGGGAAGGGAAATGGTAGCTGCTGTTGTTGATGATGCATCGGGCCCGGACGCAGGTGCTGCGCCCGCGCGTAAACCGCCTCCCCACCCACCGAGTTTACATTCCCGCCCGCAGGAAGCCCCGAGGCCGGGAGTGGACCGGACCCGCCCGCCGCCCCCGAAGGTGAGGCTGGCCGCATCGCAACCTCCGCTGCCGCCGCGTCTTCGGTTCCCCCCTCGCGACGCTTTAGCTGCCGCTGCGTCGCCGACCGGCTTCCCGTCGACTCCGTGTTTCCCGGCTCCGCGAGGAGCGCTTTGACTCCCACCTGCTGCAGCGAAGGGCCGCCATGAGCAGGGGTGAGGGGCGCGGCCGCGGCGGGGACGTCAGTCGTCGCTTCCGTCGCCGCTCGCTCCTCCCTCCTGCGCGAGTCAGTGGAGACGGCACTGCCGCTGGCCTTGAAGGCAGCCGGGTCCTGGCGCTGCGGGAATCGCGTGTCCTGCGGCGGCTGCTCCTCCGCGCCGTCAGCCGGCAGGGGACGCGGGGACGAAGTGCTGTGCTCCCGCGCCTCCAACGACGGCTGCGCGTGCGGCGTGCCCGCCTTGCCACCGTCGGCGTGGGTTGGCAGCGGCAACAGCTGCTCTTCGCTCTTTAACGCATGCGCCCCCCCTGAGGCCTCCGCGCGCTGCTGCTGCTGCTGCTGCTGCTGCTGCTGAATCGCTGCGTGGACCTGCATGAGCTCCTCGAAGGCGGTCTCGGGGGAGATCCACTCCAGCACCTCCTGCAGCGAGCAGCCGCCGCCGCCGTAGCCGGCGAGCGTCGCCAGCGGCGTGGTGAGGGGCACAAACATGCGGCAGAGCTCCTGGAACTCGCGGGTGTGCAGCATGCGGGCGGTGAGGTCGTACTGGTCGTCGAACGGCGAGGTCATGAAGAGGTGCTGCCCACGCTTCTGGCACTTCTGGGGCTTAGGCACCACGCTGGAGTTCCCAAGGGGATCGAAGTAGAGGCCGTGGCTGTCGTAGTCAAAGGTAAAGCCGTAGTAAAAGCAAAAGTCGTGGAACAGGTGGCCCAGCGACGAGGTCGAGAGCAGCCGCAACGCCAGCGAGCGGACTAAGCTCGTTTTCCCATCCTCCGTCACCTCGCCCTCTTCCTTCTCTCTTTCCTGCAGGCCGCCGCCGCCGCCGCCGTCGTCGTCGTCGTCGGAAGTGTCGCCCTCAGCGGCGGGATTCAGCTCCGCTGCCACGTTCTGGCCGCCATCGTCGCCATCATCGTCATCATCGCTCCCACCCTCACTGTTCCCCGCATAAGCGTCAACCTTGTCGTCGTTGCCGCCCGGCTCTGACGCCACATCCGGCGCCTCAGGGGCCTCGCTTGTGGCTAAGAGCACCTCCCCGCGCGGTGCAGGCGCGTCTGACGCCGCGTCGTAGCACACCGGTGCCACCAGTTTGGCCCCCGTTCGCTCCTTAAGGCGGCCCGCCGCACGGTCCGTTTCGCCCCCCTCGCAGCCCGCAGGCTGCTCCTCCTGCAGGAACGTGAGAATATAGTGCAAGATGCCCGCCGTATTCCGTTTGCCCTCCTGCTCCTTATGGTACGGGCGAAACCGCTCCACAAAGGCCCGTTCCACCAAGAAGAGTTTGTCAAGGTACGAGGTGTGCCGAGACGGGGGCAGAGGCGCGGCGGGTGCCGGTTGGGTGGGCAACGGTGTCTGAGCCCGGGGCGTCGCTGCGCGTGTTGCACTGGGGCCCACGCCACCCGTGCCAGCGTCGCCCATTCCGCTGGAGCTCGCTAGCATGCCCCCATTTCCCCACTGAGTGGCCACACTGGTGCGGCCCGCATGCTTTTGCTGCTGCTGCTGCTGCTGCAGGAACCCCTCGAGGTGGCAGGAGACCTCATTGAAGAAGTGCAGCACCAGCAGGTAGATGACGAACGACGTCACCCCCCCTGGCTGCGAGTCACCGATGCCCATTTGTCTCACGCAATGCTTCAAAAACAGTATCAGCCCCCGCGACGCGGGGAACCGCTTCAGCAGGTGGTTCGTCAGCTGCATCGACCGCCAGTGCTCGCCGCCGGCAAAGGTGATGTCGCCCTTCATTCCGGTAGACTTCTCCGCCACCTTGATGACCGGGACGCGGGTGGAGATGATGGTCTGGACGTGGAAGTAGGGGCCTCCGAGCGTCGGGACGTACAGTCGGTGTCCCCCCGCACCGCCGTAGTGCTGCAGCGGCGCGGCCGAAAGCGGGCCCATGTAGCCCTGCAGCGCCATCGCGGCGGTCGTGGGGCCCTGCGTCGGCAACGCAGTCGCCCTGGCGGCCGAGGACAGCCCCGCCCGGGTGCTGAATACATAGTCGCGCTCAATCTGGGAACGGTACTCCGCCTCCTCCTCCTCCACGCGCATGATGGGGTCTCCCGCCTCCAGTTCACCGCCCGACTCTAACGTGACTTCCTCTAACTCCACCGGAGACGAAGCCGGCAAGTCCTTTGCACCTAACGCCTCCTCAGCGGCGCCTGCCGCGCTGGTGTCGTGACAGGCCTGAGAGAATCCTTCAGCCGCCGCCGCCGCCGCCGCCACCGCCACCGCGCCGGCCTCTCCGGACTCAAGCTCTTGGAGCTCTTCTTCACTGATGTGAAGGATGGCCCGTGACAACTGCTGAATCGCCTGCAACGGGGTCAGAGGCTCGTACCCAACAACCAGTAGGTCAATGTCGCTGGAGGCGAGCGCAAGGTCGGTGGTGATAGACCCATGCACTCGCACCTCGGCGCGCGGGCCAAGCACCTTTGTCACGATACGCTGCACGCGGGCAATAAATCTTTGCCTCGCCTGTAGATCGGGCTCGCGAAGCCCCAAGCACGTCTTCACGTAAAGCTGCAGGCACGACACAAAGTCAGGCGCAGACAAGTAGGTCCAGGGAGAGGCACCCATGACGGGGGACATCATCTTCTGCGTGTTGTGTGCTAAAACGGAGCCATGCTGTTGTTGCTGTTGTGGGGCCATCGCGGCCTCAATGGGGCGGGCAGAATTGCTGCCACCGCCCTGTGACGGATCCTGCGCGGCGGCACTCGGGAGAGGCGGCGCTGCAGCTTTTACACCCCCTGGGAAAGCCTGCCTCTGTGGCGTGACCGGCGGCGCTTGCGCACCGGAGTCGCTAGTTGTCGCCTCTGCAGCCACGCCACTCACCGGCGCGCCCTCGCCCTTCCCCTGCGCCTGTTTGTCCCCAGAGGCGTTTCGGCTTGGTGCTGCACCGTTGCTCGCACCTTTGTCTGTTGCCTCTGCCTGGCCTGCACGCCCTGCCGCGGCGAGGCGGGTGCCCCGACTGCGGTCTGTAGCATCCGGCGCAGCGGCAGGCGCTTGTTCTTCTAGTGCGGCAAACGTATCCCGTGGCGCCTGCGACTTGGCGGGCGACAACAGCCGGCGCACGGCATCTGGCTTCCCCGCCACCTTTCGCTTTGCTTGTCGAGAGGAACTCACCCCGTTTACCGCCTCCAGCAGCGAGGTCACGTCCTTCACGGCGGCCTTCGCCGCCCTGCGCCTCACAGCAACGCCACTACTGCCACGACTACTCGTGCGGCTACTCGCCGTGGGGACGACACCGCTACTACCGGCGTGCGTCTCCTGCCGGCCGTGCGCCGCCGCATCGAGCTCCAGCGGCGGGCGCGGCTCTAGCAATCGCTCGGCGCTACTACTCTGCGCCGTCAGTCTAGCCGCGCCGTCGGAGGTGTTGTAGCCGCTTGCGGTAGTGGCGGCGGAGGGCCCCGCCCACTCGCCGGCCTCCTCCTGCGGTCCCGCGCCCCCGTCAACCAGGCGGCCATTTTTGCGCTCGCAGCTCGAGCCAGTGGAGGATCCACGCGGCCGCGCCCCCGGCTCCGCCCACCCCCGGGACAACCGAATTACGCCCTCCCGCCCCGCCTCCCCCAGGCTGCTGCCGCCACCGCTGCTGCGGTTGACGGGGGAGCGGGGTGCGTGCCGCGCCGCGGCCGCCAGGTCCTTCTCGTCTATCGCCAACGGCGCCCAAACGGGATCCGGCGGCGACGCGCTGGGCATGGCGTGCGCGTGGTCCATGACCTCCCGCGGCGGCGCGGCCATCACGTGCGGTCGCGTGTTGCAGCTGCCGGGGCTATTGTCGCCGCAGAGGGCGGCACTGTGCAAGCCAAACTCCCGCCGCATCCGTCGTGAGTGGCGCCTCCACACACACGGCGACTGCCTCCGAGGCAAACAAAAGCAATCAAAAAAAAAAGATGCGCCACAGAATAAAGGGTCGCGGGGGCTCTACTGTATGACGCGCCAGTAATGAGTGCGTCCCAACCCGCACGAGTGCCTGCCTTCAACTTACTTCCTCTTTTTCTTTCTCTTTTTCCTCCTTCTTCTTCAAGACGGCGGCGGCGCTCGCGATGATGCTGCGGCGTTCCCTCTCCCCCACCCCCGCAGCGTGTGTGTGTGTGTGTTGCGAAAGTGATGTGTGTGTTTTTTTTGTTGCCGCCGCGTTCCCCCGCCTTGCGTGTATCGCGTTTTTTGCTGTTGCTGCTGCTGCTGCTGCTCTTATTGCGTATGTGTGTGTGTGTGTTTTTTTTCCTTTCCTTTTCTTTTCGTTTCTCCCCCCTCCCCCCACCTTCTCTGTTCCTGTTGTCCCCTTCCTCTTCCTCTTCTTCTTTTCTCGGTTGTGTCTTTTGTTCCTCCCGCCTTATTTCCTTCCGCGCTCCACTATATATATATATATATTTGTACTTGCGCGCGCTCCCCCACCTCGCTCCCCCTCTGCTGCTGGCGAGGTAAATTTTTTGTTTGCTGCTGCTGCTGCTGCCGCTGCCTCTCCTCCCTTTTTTTTTCTTGCTGCTGCTGCT